TTGTTGGTGACCATCTGGGTAGGTTGTTTGGATTGCCTTGTACTTGTCGTGTGAGATAGTGAGGTATATCGTGCCTGGTTTTCGAGTGGGCTCGGTGTAATACGGCGCCGTCGATCGCTCGGCATTGGTCTGTTTGGTTTACGCTGCATCATGAGAGGAGATGAATTTCGATTTATAAGCGACGTGCAGGGTTCCTACAGATGTTCCTCAGTCGTGCTGTTGATGTTATCTCCAAACGCCGCGATGGTCGTGAGGTCATCAGGCTAATAACCCCGTTCATCGAGAGAAACCGGTGTCTGGTCAACGGCGAAAAGGAAATCCATAAATTGGCCAGTGCGTCAACAACCCAGCCCATCAGACGACAGGCAGTCCAAACCCGGCTCGTCTTGCAATTCAAAGGCCGTTCGAGGCCCAGTCAAGGCAAGAGCGATTGCAAAGTCGGGTCGAATGCAGTTATACCCTAACCCTGGATTTCTTTACAAGGATTCCATGGGCTAGTCCTAGCCCGAGGTCACCCGAGATGGCCTGCCTTGGCGGAGTGCAGATCCAGGCTAAAAAATTTAGGGGAAAAAAAACACGACGATGTCATTTGAAATGTCCATTCATCTCATCTTGGCAGGGAACTTGTCTCGCTTCGCTACAGGTACCGCGAACGACACCGCCATGTCGCCAGCAGTTGCCCACGATCGGATGCCCTTCTGAAATGCTGCCGACAGCCATACTGCCAATGACGAATCCTCTCGACCGACCATGATATCCTCGACTGTTCCTGCGCTTGTTGCGCGACGTCTCAACATCGGTTGGACTTGCGCCAAATGTCGTAGCCAGGTCCCCAAGCCGATCCTCGGCCGAGCCCCTATCTCGCGCCAGTACAGCACCCCTCCGCCAAAGTTTCGCACATCGATCCCCCGTTCCCGCCGACGTGTGGTGATACTGGCGACAGCCGGAGGCGCCGCAACGGCCGGTCTCCTAGCCGTGGGAGACGACATCAAAGCCTTCTCAGAGACGGTTCAGAGGTCAGGGAGAGTGGCCACAACCCTCTTCATCTGCGTCAACGAGTAAGCTGGCCACTTTGTGAACCAATGGCCCCCAATTGAACATTTGCTAAACCTCAAAAGCTACCGCACGACCCTAAACCAGCGAGAAACCACCGAAGATGCCGATGAAAGTGACAAGATCCTCAAGGCCTGTCACCAGCGCTGTGCCGACCGGACATTACGAGTCCTGGAGAAGAACGGCGGCATTTTTATCAAGCTAGGGCAACATTTGGTATGCATTGTCTTGCCCAACGGTGAAAGACTTCTGGTTGAAGACTAATGGATGTGACAGAGTGCCATGAACTATCTCCTGCCTTCGGAATGGACCACAACCTTTATACCGCTGCAGGACAAGTGCCCCGTCTCTTCCCTCGAGTCAATCGAGGTAATGTTCAAAGCAGACACGGGCGGTGATCTGTACGACTATTTCTCCGAATTCTCAAAGGAACCAATAGGGGCTGCATCATTGGCCCAGGTCCACCTAGCCACGATCAGGGAGACGGGCCAAAAGGTGGCTGTCAAAGTTCAACATCCCGGGCTCCAACAGTGGGCACCGTTAGACATGTCCCTCACAAAGTTTACCTTCTCGACACTCAAACGCTTCTTCCCAGAGTACGACCTAGAGTGGCTCTCGTCTGAGATTGAATCCTCTCTCCCCCAGGAGTTAGACTTCCAATGCGAGGCCGAAAATGCCCTTCGAACCAAGGCGCACTTCTTGCGGAAACCCGAGGTGCCCCTGTTGATCCCAGATGTCATTTGGGCCAGGAAGCGCATTTTGGTAATGGCGTGCGAGACTGGCCACCGTCTCGACGACCTCAACTATATGGACTCAAACGGCATTGACCGTGACGAGGTGTCGGCAACACTTGCTCACATCTTTAACGAAATGATCTTTGGCGAAGGCGCACCGTTGCATTGCGACCCCCATGGAGGCAACATTGCTATCCGCAAGAACAACTGTAGGCGATCCAAGGCCAATTTTGACATTATCCTGTATGATCACGGCCTGTACCGGGATATCCCCCAAGACCTGCGACGTTCCTACGCCAAAATGTGGCTCGCTATACTGGACGGTGATCTGGAGCGGATGAAGAAGTATGTGAACGAGGTGGCAGGTATTGGCGAGGACAAGTTCCCGCTGTTTGCCTCTGCCATTACAGGCCGCGACTTCACCATTGTGAGCTCGTCCATCATGAAGCCCAAGGATGACAGCGAGCAAAAGACAATGAGCACGGCGTTGCAGGAGGGTCTGATTGTCGATCTGGTGCAAATGCTTGGCCAAGTGCCCCGTATCATCCTGCTCATCCTCAAGACAAACGACCTGACGCGCAGCCTGGACGAGAACCTACAAACACGACAGGGGCCGGTGCGGCAGTTTTTAATCATGGCGAGATATTGCATGCGGACAATATTTGACGAGCAGCTCGAGGAGATCCGGCGGCGCGGATCGCTGTACTGGCCGCCCAATGCGCTGCGGCTTCTGACAGCTTGGCTCGGCTATGTGAGGGTTGAAGCCAAGCTCGAGGTGTTTGAGCTCTGGCTCAGTGTGAAGCGGTTGTTAGGTTACCGGGACACAATAGACTTGGGCGTGGCGGCATCACCAGCATAGACTAATTAATTAGATTTTGATACCTCAGCATATACCTCAGCATCCTTAGTGGGTACAGATGGCGGTTACCTTCCCTTTCGCGAGCTGTTTACTGGCTTGTTGACATATCCTCGGTCAGGCGTGTCAGCGGTCCAGAGGATTCAATGACAAGATTCGCTCCAACTGCTCTACGAAGCGACTAGTAATGTCACTTGGGCGCTCATTCCCCGGGATCCAAGAGGCTGACCCCAGCTCCGACCCTCATCTTAGCATACATAGCATTTAGCTCCACCAACGGCCCTCAGCTCACCCTTGATCCCGTCGCTGATGCAGGCACCAGGTCCACAAGCTCCCCCGCAGGCCCCATCGGACTCCTACCAGGCAGAGACGCGTGGTTTCCCTGCACTCTTGAAGGAGTCGTCTCTACCGTATTTTCAACAAGCTACAAGGAGCTTCAAGGTCGCATAGTGTAGTTGGTTATCACGTCAGTCTAACACACTGAAGGTCCGCAGATCGAGCTTGCGTGTGATCATAAATAGATATCTTAAATACCTTGTTCCTTCTTTTTGGCGATTATTCGTTCCGCACTCAATCAGCAAGTGTGGTGTCGGGACGATTTCCAGCTATTTTGGCAAGACATTCATCAAGATAGCTAGCTGGTTGGGTGCTCTTGTTGTTTTGCATGTTGTGGTGTTGAAGTATCTCAAAAGCTCTCAGCTAGAACTAATCACTGATCAAACTGAGTACAAAAGGCATAGATAGGGACTTTAATATCGGCCGGCCTTTCACTGTCCAAAGAAAACAATTCACTGCCAAAGCAGGGGCGACGTATTCTGTCGTTGCTCTCCAGCCCTGTGGTAATGGCCAAAACAGGGTCTAAGCAGGGGCTGAGCAGGCCGACTCGCTGGTGTCTCGACCTTTTCAGGCATCCATCCCCCGCAATGATGCGCGCGGGGGAGGCGAAGCAACTTCACCACCCAGGCTTTGTGTCACTGACACGAGCGCTCAGCGCTGCGAGTACTCATTGATGTTCAGCCGTCTCCTTTCTCTTTTTATCCCCCTTATATATTCAACTAGATGTGGCATTTTTCCGACCACAACATAAGTCTGTCTGTATCTCGCTCTCAGAGCATTCAACTGATCTCACCAAACAACGTCACGATGGCCAATTCCATCAAGCGCATTTGGCAAAATGCCTTCACCAGGCCAGCTGCGCCAGCCGCGCCGGCTCCCCCACGGCATCAAAAGGCCACCGCTGTAAAAACGACCTACGAATCCCAGCCCGTAGACGTCCCCGAATCCTGTACGTCCTCTGCACCCGCTTCTCACCAACCATCCCTAAACTAACCGCCGCCACAGTCCTTACGACCCCGGCCCCGGACTACCTCGCGCCCACCTTCCACCAGATCTCGTGGCCCGCGACCGCGGTGCCGGAGAACGGCGTCCGCTACGCCGCCGTGCTCGACAACGTGCTCAGCCCGTCCGAGTGCGCGGCGCTGCTGGCGCTCGCCGAGGCCAGCGTGCCGCCGACGCACGGCAGCGGCCCGGACGGCACGGCGGGGGCGTGGCGGCCGGCCATGATCAACGTCGGGGCCGGGTACGAGGTGCTGACGCCCAGCTACCGCAACAGCGACCGCATCGTGTGGGACAGCCAGGATGTGGTCGACCGCATCTGGGCGCGGTGCCTGGCCGTGCCCGGGCTGGGGGAGAGGCTGGCTGTGATTGATAAGGAGACCGAGGTGACGGGACATGAGAGGTTCGGCCTGCGGAGGGGGCCCGGGTCGAGGTTCGAGTTTGCCAAGATCAATCCGCGCATGCGCTTCTTGAAGTATGGGGCGGGGCAGTTTTTCAGGGGTGGGTTCTTCCTTTGGAGTGGTGTGGGGATGGAATGCTAATGAGAGATGGCAGCGCATCGTGATGCTCCGTACGGAGAAACATCAGAGGACGGGAAGACTATTGAGTCGTTGTTTACGATTCATGTGTACTTGAACGACTCCAAGGCCGAGGTGGGTGAGGCATCGGAGCTGGTTGGTGGTGCGACGAGTTTCCTGTCGGCGGATTGCACTCGGAAGGAGGATGTCGACCCCAAGGCTGGGAGGGTTCTCATCTTCCAGCAACGCAAACTTCTGCACGCAGGAGACGATGTCCTGGCAGGGATCAAATACACGATGCGGACAGAGATCATGTACGAACTCATCCCTCCGGACGACCTGGAAGGACAGGAAGGGCAAGAGGGTCAGAAGGAACCGGGGGAGAGTTGAGAAACCTCAGGAGCATGTGTCCATGGCCGCCGACCCAGTCTAATAATATACGGGGTGGGTGGCCCGGCAAAAGCTGGGAAGCGACCGGTATCGTAGGTCGGCAAAAATGAAGTTTGACAACTGTGAGATTCGAACTCACGCCCCTTTCGAGAACGAAATGCACACTCTGTAACAGAGCGAAGTATGGATACTCGGGTGCGTCGCCTTAACCACTCGGCCAACTTGCCTGCTGGTTGATACAATCTTGGTGTGGTGTTTTGCGTCAAGACAACACCCGCCTTCCAATGCAAAAGGCATAAACACCCCTATTCATCTCCCCAAATCCCGCGAATCGCCTTGATGACCTTGCAGTCCCCCTTGTGGCCGCCTTCACTCCACCCCTTGACCTGACACGCCTAACAAAGCCATCATCAGCCCCGGACCCCACAACCTCCTCCCTCTCCGGAATGCACTCACCTTGGAACAATACCTTACCCCGCCACACCCCGTACACCGCGCGAGCGCGCCCTCGGCGCTCCCACAGCCCGCGCACCCGGGCTGCGGCCCCTGGGCCCGCAAGCCTTCGGCGACCTCGACGACGGTCCGCAGCGGGGCGGGGACGGCGCGGACCTCGGCGGCGGTCCCCCGCGCGACGCTGACGAAGCCGCGCTTGCTCGCGTCCTTGGGCGGCGTGCGGCGCGCGCGCGGCACCACGACGCACGCGCCCTTGCGCAGCCCGAGCGCTTTCAGGTCGAGCCCGTCACGTTCGAGCCCGTCGAAGACGAGCGCGAAGGGGCTGCCGGCGCGGTCCAGGCACACCAGCGTCGGCTTGGTGATGGTCATGTCGTCCTTGATCTCGGCGAGCAGGTACCACGGCTCATCGCCGCCGCCGTCCGGGCTCGTCGGGTCCGGGTCTTGTGGGGTGGGGAGGGTGGCGAAGGTGGGGAAGGCGGTGGGGGAGGTGAAGGGGGGGAGCGGCATTGTGTGAGATTTGGTGATGTCGGAAACGGCGGGGGTGGGTTTGGGCTATCCGCGTCGCGTTTGTGAATGCCGCGGGGGCGAGATTCTGAGGGGGCCGGATTCTGAGAGGATGAGCTCAGGAGGCGCAATTGGACTGTGTCAGCCAAGACTCAAGGTCCACCTAAACACTGGGGTTCTTGGCAGTGGAGCCATTGGACCGACCGATCTGGGGAAGAGGGATGGATGCTCAGTGAGATCTGGTAACCAGGAATACTGTGGATTTGCCAAATTCCAATTGTAGTGTAGTGTGTTGTTATCAGTCTGAAAAGTAATCTCAGATCACAGCAAGGGATGTTCCAGTTTACTCCTTGCGCGTTGCAGGCTTGGAGTCTTGAATCCAGCCAGTCATTCACACCAAGGTACTTGCATACCCTAACCCTTTAACCGGCGGCACTTTCAACCCTGCGCCCGATTAGGTCGTGCACCCTGATCCGTTGTCAACTTCATCTTGAAGTTCTTCGCCTAGGATAGACGTATATCAGTCATCAAAACATCAAATACTGCCAGACTGTTCAGCCCAATTACGATGCACCCAAAACACAATACAACCCTCAAACCACAACCCCAAAAGGCTTCCAAGGTAGCACACGAAATGCAGGAACAGACCAAGCTCGTGAGCAAGTCCTGTCTCATCTGCAGCATGGCGTCATCTCCCACGATAGGTTAGGCCGTCAGATCGACCATCTCGCTCCCGTCAGCACCTTACATAGTAAGTACCGTTGGCACTTTTGTTTCCATTCAGCACCTCCAAACGAAACTCCCGCTACCGTAACCAGGGGGGAAGCCACCAGCAGTCGGTCACCAATAGCAACCCCAGCATCCAACACATTAGGAATAATACTTCGTACAAGTCAACACTGACGACACATCACCAAAAATCTATCAAGCGCAACACTACAACACCACATAATTATACGTGACATGCGTCCTCCAAAAGAAGCCATCCCTTATATACACAACTGGGTAGGGAAAGTGCAAAAACGCCCAAGGACAATGCATAGGTTGCAACACCTTTCCCATCGCAAGATACCCACCCCTCTCCCATTGACGCCAGTGTGCCGTTGACCAAAACAAAACCAAAAACAGCAGCGCAAAGCGACCACATTAGTAAGTATGCTGACACCAGGGCATGTGTACTCTCATCACCCGTGCCTCCTGTGCAGGGCTTGGTAATTACCGATTCCTCCGACAATTCCCCGGACGATTCTTCTCGTGGCCTCTTACACGCCTGTGCTCATCCACCCAAACGTTCCCACTGCCGTCCCTAGGATAAGGAACGTCAGAATACCGGCGCCTGCCTTGTCACCTGTCGTTGCCGGAATCTCTTTGCCATCGAACGAGTCTGATCGGCTGCCGGCGTTGGGGTCGCCCTTGCTGGTGCCGCCCGTGCTGTTCGTAACGGGGCCTCCTGTTTGACCGATGAGAAGCGACGACACGGCGCTCAATACGTTCATCTGCTGACCCGCCCCGAAGCTGCCATCAAACTCCCTGGTGCTCCACTTGAATCCGCACGCCCTCCCGGTATCGCCCCCTTTGCAAGTAGCCACTGCCGCCTCGGTTGATGTCTTGAGGACGTTCAAAATCTTGGGCGCTAGAAAGGGGGCGAGTTGTGTTGCCGTCGCCATCCAGCGATGGACGTAGCCCTTGAAGCTCAGCATGTCAGTGGTGCATGACATGTGCTCCTCGCAGGCTACCTCGAAGGCGATATTGTCAGGGAAGAAGACCTTGATCGTGGCGTCGACGATCTTCTCGACCCGGTCTTGCCAGACCGCGCTGCCGTTTGTCTATTCGAAGCACATTAGCTGATTGCGCGCGGGGTGCCAGGCTGTGGCTACTCACATAATTGTACATGTGCGCGGCGCCTAGAAGGAACACGCCATTGTTGTAGGAGAACTGAGCCTTGTTGATGTCGGTGCAATTGTGCTCGACATGGCCGCCATCGTAAATGTTGTATTCGGCGTCCATAAGACCTACCGACGTCATCCAATCCCACGTCGTCTCGGCCCACTTCGCATATGTCTCATTGCCGGTGTAGCGGGCGAGTCTCGCGCCAAGGTTAAAGAAGCAGCCATTCGCAATACCTAGCACCGGTCAGTCATGCTCAACCTCTGTCAACCCCGGGATATGCTTACTGTTCTTGTAGTTATATCCGTTGTTGGATAGAGGAATCTGCCACCTCAAGCCGCCATTGCAAGTCTTATCGTGACGATCTGGGTTGGCCTGGGTGTGGAAGACGGCCTGAGCGAGGGCCAGCCACTGGGGGGAGGTGGATGGAGGATCGGGAAAGTTGTTCTCGGCAGCCAGCATGGCAGTCATGCCCCAGAAGCCTTGGTCGTCGTTCCCCAGCGATGCTGTCACATTGGGCGGCATGTAGTCCTCTCCTGGCCCGACCTGGAACAGCATCGCCTGCGTGACAACATCGTTGTAAGATGAATCGCCCGTCAGTTTCCAGTAGTCGATCAGCGCTCCCCACATAGCACCCGCCTCCCACCAGTAGTAATCGCCTTGAGGGGGAGGACCGGGCAGGATTCCCGGCGTTTTCCCTGTCTTGTTTCCATCGTAGTATTGCATCAGGTCCCAAGCGAGTTGTGCTGCTGTTACTTTTATGTCGGCTGCGATAATGGGTGAATACTGTTAGTGCCATGGCCAAAGAAAGCCAAAATCAAGCTTAAATCGCGACGAGTTTGCGCACCTGTTGACGCAATACTGTAAGCAGCGTTTGCAGCGCCGCCTCCAACCAGGACGGCGGCTGCGAGCCGCGATACTGAGAAAAGCATGTTTGGGGGAGCGGGCTGAGCGAGCGACTGGGTAATAACGAGAGACAAGAAACTAAAAGCCTCCTTGAAAAAAATGGCGATTATATATCGTGACCATCAAACGAGAGAAGTAAGGGTCGCAAAGGACGAGAAAGACGTTGCGGAATTGATATCGCGAATGTTTCTTGGTGGATGCGGAAAGAAGAGTGAGTGGGTAGTGAAATGGAACCACTGATGGGGGACGGACGCTGTAATACCGCATGTGTGCTACTCAGAGTTGGTTGTTTGGCGGATTTGGCCGGAGGTCAATCAGGTGTTTTAGTGATGTCGTAAGTAGAGGTACAATACGGCTGATTCCTGCAGTTAGGAAAAAATGAGAAATCAAATGTGAAACACTAACAGATAGACCGGGGCAACCAAGTTCAGGTTCCGTCGCCAGGACGGACGCTCGTGATGGAGGGGGAGGGGGGGCGCTGCACACCCTACACACCCTACTTATCGTAATGACTATGGATACCCACTAGAAGTCAGGTACGACGTGACCCAAGGCCCCGTCGTTCTTCGTTCTTAATCTCTGGAGGCCTTCCGTCGCCCCGCGTTTACACCCATCGCCTGACTTTCTTTCAGCTCGTGAACGTGAGAATGGGCGATATCCATTTCAATTCTATCGAACACGAGCGGGGTGCCCGCGATTACGTCGTCTTCTTCTCTTTTTCGACAGGCGCCGGTTGAAGGCTGTAGTTGCGCCATAGTGCACTTGGCAATTCCTGGGCACACAGGCCACTGAAGCTTGTGTCGGCGCCGGGGTGACATTGGCGAGCCACCAGCATGGTCTCCGCCCGCCGAAGAAGCAACAACTTCTCTCCTTTACTGGCGATCTCTATGGGGGGGGTCACAGCCATGACCCTCGTCAAATGGCCGCGTGGGTGTGGAGGGAGGAGGGTCCGTTAATTTCGCCGTGGAAGGGGAGAGGGCGGGTTTCTCAAACCCCATCATCAGAGCCTTGGCCAGTCGAACCAGTGTGACCCTTGCATTGAATCTTGAAGTGTATGCGTTGCGCATCGAGAACGGCGAATAGCAGTCCAGTCTTGGCCCATGAATCTTAGCCGTGATGGTGGGTGTCGCCATACTGGACAGGTCAGGTACCCGGCGGCACAGCATCCTTCACATACTTATTTTAGAGGCTCGCGTTTTGCCGGCGATATAAGGGCTGGCTCTGCTTACATTGAGTGCCTGCCTTGAGATGCTGGCAACTTCATTAAGTTTTGCGGCGTCAATCTGTCAAGGGTTAGGGTGACTCCTTTTTTTTCCTGATTATCCAATGTTGAAGCTGTTCAAAACCGAGACAACCGGCGATGCGGAGGTACCTAGCAGAAAGTTGCAGTTAGGCAACGTAGAATACAACAGCAATACGCGACATCCGGGGGACTTGAACGAACGAAAGTGGCGGAGAGCGTCAATGGGAAGAGAGG